CAAAGCCCTCACGGCCCTTCCAATCGCCCTCCCGCGCTCCCCCCGGGGTTCCCTCGGTCTCCTCACCGTTCCACGGCGGCGGCACCCACTTGTCGGTCTCTTTGCTSGGGTACATGATGGCCCCGGCGAATTGCTGCGCCCACTCCATGTCGGGCTGCCATTGTCGCGACCTGAGGGGGCGACCCCGGGGGTCGGGCGGTGAGCGGGGGGACAMCCCCACASCCTCCCCACAGCCTCCCYACAGCCTCCCGCCGTGTCCCCGTGTCCMYCGCGGTCTCACCGGGCCGGGGCMGGGCCCAACCGGGCCCCCGCCGCCCTCAGCCCCGAGGGGCTCCGGAGCCGCCACAGCGCCCGCAGCGCCGCCATCGTGCCCTTGGCACTGCGCATGCGCGGGGGAGGTGTCATGGCGGGGAAGGGCAGAAGCCGTGGGAGCCGCCATGTTGGATGTGGGCAAGCGCGCCGCCAGCGTGCCCTTGGTGGTGCGCATGCGCACGGACGCCATTGCACTACAGGGCAGGGGAAGCCGAGAGTGCCGCCATGTTGGATGTGGGCAAGAGCGCCGCCATTGTGCCCTTGGTGTTGCGCATGCGCACGGACGCCATTGCACTACAGGGCAGGGGAAGCTGAGATTTCCGCCATGTTGGATGTGGGCAGCTCGCCGCCATTGTGCCCTTGGTGTTGCGCATGCGCGGGGACGCCATTGCACTACAGGGCAGAGGACGCTGAGAGTGCCGCCATGTTGGGTGTGGGCAGATGAGCCGCCATTGTGCCCTTGGTGGTGCGCATGCGCGAGGACGCCATTGCAGTACAGGGCAGGGGAAGCCGAGAGTGCCGCCATGTTGGGTGTGGGCAGATCCGCTGCTATGGCGCCCTTGCCGCTGCGCAAGGGCCGAGGGCGCCGTGACCGCGGAGAAGAGACGCAATGAGTGTATCTTTGTTGGGTGTGGGCAGATGTGCCTCCATCCTGTGCTTGGCGTGGGGACACCATGCCTGGGAAGGGCAGGGGACGTTGAGAGTTCCGCATACACGGGGTCAGGAGGAACCACGCGGGAATGGGGGACGCGGGGGTCGCAGGGACCCCCTGGGGACGGGGACACRTGTGGCCAAAGGGGTCCCATGCGGACACGGGACCTATGGGAGATGGGGAACACAGAGCAGGAACGGGGAAATAGAGCGGTCGCAAGAACGCCTCTCGGAACACGGCTGAGCATCCGCCGGGGCACGGGAAACCCACGCGTGGCCTGCGGGGACACGGAGGTCGCAGAGACGCCCTCGGGACGGGAACACGGGGCCGCGGGTGACACACGTGGCGCCCCGCCCCGATGCTCCACTTCCGGCCCTGCGTCCAATCACATCGCGCCCTTCCCGTGAYGTCACACAATGGGACGGACAGAGGGCGGGAAAGGGAGCGGTTGCCGCGGCGACGGCGCCCGCTGTGGTCACGCCCACTTTGGGGACCGCGCCCCCTCCAGCCCCTGGGGCTCCTCCGGGTCTTTCCGGGCCACCGCGCCCCGCCCGGGGGTCACCGAGCGCCACCGGCGCCTCCTCCGCGCTCTCTCGATCCCCCTGAGGGGACCCCTCAGCCCCCCCCGCCCGGGCCTTGACCCCGCCGCGCCCCCGCCCTGTGACGTCATCACGCCGCGCCCTCCGCTCCAAGATGGCGGCGGCCGGGCGGGGCTGAACCGGGCCCAGGCAGGTACCGGGAGCGGAGCGGGGAGGGACCGGGGGGGCAGGAGCGGCACCGGCACTGTGGGGGCTGAATTGGAGCCGGAGTGGGGAGGAATTACCGGGGGTGTAGGGTTGGGATCGGGGCGGGCGCGGCCGGGCCCAGGAAGGTACCGGAACCGGGGATCGGGGCGGCGCCGAACCGGCGGGGAGCAGCTACCGGGACCGGGAGTATTGCGGGGAAGAGCAGGTGCTGGAGCGTGGAAAGGCAGGACAGGGACCGGGAGTACCGGGGGAGGGCGGAGCGGTACCGGGGCCGGGCGGGGCTGGGCTGAGAGTACCGGGGCCAGGCAGTTACCGGGGCCGGGAGTACCGGAGGGGCAGGAATGGGCTGAGCCGGGTCCCGGGGCTCAGCGGGGATAGAGGAGGTTCCGGTACCGGGGTTGGGCTGAGTGGGGATCGGGACCGAGCATTTTCCGGTACCGGGGTTGGGCTGAACGGGGATCGGGACCGGGCATTTTCCGGTACCGGGGTTGGGCTGAGTGGGAATCGGGACCGGGCATTTCCCGGTACCGGGGAGGAACCGAGCGAGGCCCGAGCATTTTCCGGTACCGGGGTTGGGCTGAGTGGGGATCGGGACCGAGCATTTCCCGGTACCGGGGTTGGGCTGACTGGGGATCGGGACCGGGCATTTCCCGGTACCGGCGTTGGGCTGAACGGGGACCGGGCATTTCCCGGTACCGGGGAGGAGCCGAACGAGGCCCGAGCATTCCCCGGTACCGAGGACGACCCGATCCATCTCCCGGTAACCCCGTGGGCTGCTCTCACCCTCTCTCCCCCATATCTCTCCCTCCCTCCCGCAGCCCCCGCGATGCTGCCCGGTTCCCCCGCGATGCTGCCCGGTTCCCCCGCGGCCCGGGCCGCTTGTGCGGCTCCCCGGTGAAGCGGAGGAAGGCGGCCCCGCGATGCTGCGGCGGCTGCTGGAGCGGCCGTG